TAATTATGACCTTATATAAAGTCATTTTTACGTCATTTATGTGATTTTGACTTTTGTGGCTAAAACCGTGAAAATTTGATTGTCTGAATATGTGAAAATCATAAAATGTACATCATGAAAGTTGGTGAAAGGATCATTCGTCTTGGAACCCCAAACGTTTAAAAATATTACTTGCTATGGCCTTACCTGTGAAGATGACGTCACCGCCTTCAAGGGTGGCCTCAGAGTCAGCAGCGATCCTGTGTACTTCAAGTCCAAGGTCAGTCATGCATCGCTTTATACTGTCAACCTGGCAGGGCAGGGAAACATCTCTGTATTTTTTAGGGGTAGGGGTTGGGGTTAAAAGGTTAGGGTTAGGTCGGGGTTGGGGTTAGGCTTGGGGTTTGGGTCGATGTTCGGCTTGGTGTTAGAGTTAGGCTTAGCTTTAGCCTTTTAATGAACCAATTTAGAAAAGTACGAGACCTATTGAGAAATTAACTGCTAATTCTAGTCTCAGGATCACCACTGACAAATGAGAATACAATCAATGGTAATCAACAAACAATAAAACAGTAAATGGGCGTTCCAAAATATACATGTAAAATGTAAAAAATTGATCATTATGTTTTAAAATTGAATGTTTTGTCGAAGGCAGTTTGAAACATTTAGTCAAATATAAACATAAACCATTTTGCATGGCAAAAAAGGTTTGAGGCAAGGCCAAACAATGTATGCGGGTTTCCGGACACACAAGGGAGAGACCAAAGTAATAAGTTGATACAAGCTAAAGATTGTGCAAATCAAAGATGGAGCCTACTACGTTCTGTAGACTGCTGAACAGGGTCGCACCTTATGCTGGTTGTATAGGAACATGGCAGTGTGATAAAAATTGCACCACCGGCATCGGTAGATACAAACAGGACTAGATTTCAAATTGCGTGAAAATAAACTTTGATTTAAAACAAATGTCCTAACGCGAAGCCATGTTTATGTTTAACATACGTTTCCTTGGTCCCATGGTATTACTGTTAAGGTAAGACGCTTCAAGGGCTGAATAGAAAATTTGCATGATTGCAAAATAGGCCAAGATATAATTACCAAAATAGGTCAAAATGCAAATAGGCGAAGACAAGAAACAGGCCACTGTGTATAAAAGTCATCCAATGCAGTTTTTGGGGCTATGGTCGGGTCCGGAGACCTGAAACCCCACCTGACACCTTTTATCGATTGTATGTACTGAATGGTTGCAGACAACATTCTCTGACACCTTTTCTGTTCCTTCCCTGAACCCTTTAATGACCCGGTAGCCACTAGGCTATTTTCGGTACGGCCGGGACCCGAGAGGAATGTAGTTCTGACTTAAAATCAACTTCGGCTCAGAGAAAAAAAAACACCGTGACCTAACCGTGAGGACACCGAGAGGTACCCCTCCGGTTGCCGGCAGTCCACCGGGACAAATTTGTAACATCTCAGACCAGATGCACAGAATAAAAGTGTGTACTTCGTACGACCTGGTCAAATGTGCGACGTCAAAAATAAGATGATTACAGCAAAATTTGCACCAAGGCACGGTTCGGGACACAACACACCCCTCGCTAAACTCACCTCCAGCCGCCTACAATCATCGGCGGGCCTTGTCACCAGCGCTCTATTCCCCAGCACGACACAGCAATCCTCCACGAAGGCACAGTCCGGCATGGAATCTTCGGCAGGGAGAACTGTCACCTCCAACCCCAAATCTTTCAGCGCTTGGACCAAACAAGCATGCTCTTCCTTTGCCTTGTCGACATCAGCAATCTCGTCAAAACCTTCCATACGGGTCGCTTCGTTTAGTTTGCTGGAGATCTGGCGGACCACCGCACGGGTATACACGGGGAAGTTGAAGATGTCTGCCATGTTTGTAATACTGGAGAATACTACACGTCCCGAAGACAAGTAAGGTCTCGGACCGGAGTTTGTTTTACGATTTTTGTATGCAACAGACAACCCCAGGCAAAAAGGCTACAATTCCGCCAAGAAAAGAAGGCCAGAAAATCTCATTATGTCAGAGAATAGCTGTTTCTAGCAATATAATGTGCCTACAGATTGTATTGTCAGATTTGTAGAAGATTCTTTACACAAAACAATCCCGCATTATAGACAACTTACGAAGGCCCACAACGACACTTCCACACACCTCTTCCACAGCCCTTCCACAGCGCGCTGCCAAGGCACCTTCCATAGCGCGATTCCGCATACCTTCCACAGCGCGCTGCCAAGGATATACCTTCCATAG